CGCCCCGGTCGAGGACATATAGATCACTTGTTTACGGTCCGTCAACTCCTTGAAACACGCCATTTTTACCGCCAGCCTACTATGGTTGTTTTTCTGGACATCCGAGCCGCTTTCGACTCCGTCGATCAACTAGCTTTATCTCGTTGCTAACAAAGGAATGGAGTACCCGAAAAGTATATCACCATCCTTCGAGCATTATATTGCAATGTCTCAGGTAAAGTGAGAACTAATGGTAAGCTCTCTTCACCTTTTGGCGTCACTAGCGGTGTACGACAGGGTTGCCCAATGTCCCCTTTTCTCTTCAATTTTGTGATCGAGGATGTCCTTTTATACGCTCTCGAGTGCTTTTAGGGTTCTGGTGTAGAGCTTCTTCCTGTCAACCGCGTGACCAATTTAGATTATGCTGATGATATTGCCTTGCTTGGTGATGACACAGAGCACACAAGTCGTTCTATAAAGCGTTTGGCTATTGAAGCATCAAAGTATGGAATGATCTTTGCCCCTACGACATGCAAAGTCCTGGTCCTGGATTGGCATCCACCTGCTCCAGTGCTCATTGTTCAAAGTACTTTGTTTACCTGGGAAGCTGTGTTTCTGCTGATGATAACATTGGAAAAGTGATTTCCCTCTTCATTGCCAAAGCCCGTTCCGTCACAAATATTGGCGGCCCACCGTTGTCGTGTTCCTCGGTATCAAAGGTGCATCCGATTCGGTGGATAGACATGCACTTTGGGACTGTCTACTCAGGAAAGGTGTACCTGAGAAATATGTAAATATTATCCGAGCATTATATGCGCGTAGCTAGGGCAGAGTGAGGGCTTACGGCAAGCTGTCGTCGCCCTTTAATATCTCCAGCGGTGTGAGACAAGGATGCCCGCTGTCACCTTTCCTCTTCAACTTTCGCTATTGATGAAGTCATGGACATCGCGTTCACAGGACACGACTTAGAAGGTATGGATCTGCTCCCAGGAGAACGACTTCTTGACTTAGAGTATGCTGACGATATTGCCCTAATCTGTGACAGCTCACAAATGTGTCAGGCGGCACTGGACAGATTAGCACTAGTTGTCCATCAAATCGGGCTTCGCTTCGCACCATCGAAGTACAAAACGTTCCTCCAAGATTGGACTGGACCGCCTCCTACGCTGACCCTTGGTGGGGATCAGCTAGAAGTCGTTCAAAAATTCAGCTACCTGGAAAGTTGTATCAGCGCCCATGGGATTGAGGATGAGATCACGAACCGTATAGCAAAAGCTCGAGACGCTTTTGCTAACCTTTGCCATTTATGGCGCCGGCGCGACATCACTCTTGCCCTGAAGGGTAGAGTGTGCAATTCGGCGGTATATTCGACCCTACTGTACGGTTGTGAAACCTGGCCGCTTAAAGTAGCGGACCTGAAGAGGCTAGGTTCGTTCGACCACCGGTGCTTTCGTAATTTAGCTCACATCTGGTGGGAACACCGCGTGAGCAACGAGCGTGTTCGACGCCTTGTTTACTTCACAGGAAAAGGAAATGAAGCGCTCAGCACCGTTATTTCACGCACCAGGCTCCGATGGCTCGGCCACGTGTTCCGCATGTCAGCCCACCGACTCTCGCGACGTGCGTTGTTTGCGCGCCGGGGATGTGGGTGGAAGAAGAGGAGGGGTGGCCAAGCGATGACTTGGTCGAGAGGAATGAAGGCCCTCACTTCTGTGCTGGCCTCGGTTGGAGCGTCTCGGCTCCCTGGTTGGAGTCCGAAAGACGATGAACACGTTTGGCTGGATACACTTGTTGTTATGGCTACGAGGCGACCTCAGTGGCGTTCATGCTGTGAGTTTCTTTGTCCCACGCCATCCCTCTTAGCCTCCCCCCCTCAGCCGGCTTGCACCAGTTGCATTTTTCTCCTTTTTTCTTCTATGTATTGCGGCAGAGTAGCTGAAGTGTTCCCCACCTCTAGCTAACGTGTATGATGATGATGATGCCAAAGCCCGTTCGGCATTCGCCAACTTGAGGCATCTGGCGACGCCGTGACGTTTCACTATTGATTAAGGGCAGGGTCTACAATGCATGGTCGCGCGGTGCTGCTGTATGGGAGTGAGTCCTGACCGATTCGTGTGAATGACTTGCGTTGGATTTCGGCCCTTGACAATGGATGTCTGCGGAGAATAGCTCGAGTGTGGTGGATGAACCACGTACGCAACGATGATGTTAGACCTCGCGTCTTGGATAACATGGGACTTCTACTTGACAGACTGGTACCACTGCACCAACTGACGTGACTGGGCCACGTTTTTCGCATACCATGCGAACGTCTACCCGGACGCGCTCTCTTCGGTCGCAAAGGACCAGACTGGAAGAAATTGCGCGGGGTCAGCTTATCACGTGGCGACAAACGATAAAAGCGCTGACTTCCAGTTAGACTGTCGTAGGTCCCATGCGTCTTCCGGGATGGAGAATCAAAGATGAAGACATCACGGGCTGGAAACTCTTTCGGAGATGGCACAGAACCGGGCTCAGTGGAAAATGTGTACAAATGTTTGTCTTGATTGGGTTGATTTACATCGCAAACATTAAACAGACAAAAATGATAAAATGGCGGTGAAACAATAAGACGATACAAAAATCTTTTGCAACTTTTGCTGTGGTCTCTGTATTTAGTACTCCCGTTTCATGATTTTCGCTGGCTCTATGTCTATCTTGTAGACACTGTTGACGTTGTGTTTCAACTGGGTTCGCTCTCTCTCTGGTACTAAATTTCATGCACTTTACCGAGCTCTCTCATCAGGTTGACAGCCTGATCGCATGGAATGCACATCACCACACCGGCATATTGGAGATAAAAGGTAAAACAGTGGGTCCCCTTGAGCCATTTCGTCAGAGCAATGAGAAGACATAAGTTGCGATATGTCAACATTTCGATTGTTTTCATCAGTTGCAAACACAATACAAGCGGGATTCTTAGACAGTTATATACAGGGGGAAAATTGGCACACCAATCAAAATGTCAAAATAAAGACCACGGTAACCTAACTGATTGTCTCAATAGTTTCTTGCAAACAACACAGGTTGAAATGCCCTAATTAGCAAAGCCTCACTAATTGCCACAATTATCGGATTGTTGTTATGTAATAACACCTTGAACCCAGTCTCCAGGTTCACCTGATGTCCATTTGTCAAGAGGTGCTTGGTGATAGATGATGCTGGGCACCGGTTCATCCTCGGGTCCACTCCGTTTTGTTGCGTCATCAGTTGTTCCAACCACCTCGGCACATGTTCAGCCACCTTCTGAGCTAACTGACGGTCAGTCCTGCCTATGCAAATATGACCGCAACCGCAGATGAACTGGTAAACGACATGAGAGGCCGAACTGACTGGTGAGTTGCTCTGACGGTCATGAAGAACAAGGCTCCGCGTTGTATGTATGCGTCGCAACTGGGCGGTCGCGTAGTTGCGCGTAAGGGCGGACCGGGGTTTGTGTCCGTTATCATTTGATACATGGTCTCCTTTGAACGGCACGAACAAATAAACCTTCTGTTTCTCTGCTATTAACACCGGTATTTTCTCCTTGAGAGGCATGTTGTGGATCTGAATGAACTTTTCATGATATCCATTTGACACCAAGGTTTTGAACGAAAATTCTTCAGCTTGCAAGATTTCGGGGCTACATATCCGTCTGGCTCTGTAGAAGAGCGTTTTCACTAGGCCACGTTTGTATGCGACCGGGGCAAAGCTGGAAAAGTGGAGGTAGTGCCCGCTCGAAGTTGCCTTGCGATGAGCTGTGCGCTGTAGTGTACCATCAGTCCGTCTCCTAATGAGTATATCCAAAAATGGCAGACTATTTTGTTGCTCCAACTCAAGGGACACCGATAGATTTGGATGAATTGGATTCAGAACTGTCGACAGCCGCGTAATATGTTCGTTGCTGGTGAAGACTAGGATGTCGTCCACATATCGCTTGTACAACGTGGCTTCACCGATGCTGGCAGTAACTTGTCTTTCTATGAACACGAGAAAGATGTTTGCTAATACTGATCCCAGAGGGCTACCCATGGCGACGCCGTCAATTTGTTTATAAGCAGTCTCGTCAAACTCAAACCGTATATTTTCAATGCATAATAGGATATACCTCGAACACTCCAGCGGTAGGCCACCAGACATGTTTTAACTCGCGATGAAATCACACAAATTTGCAGCCGTTTCACCTGGAGGCACCTTTGTGAATAGGGAGTCGACGTCTATTGAGTACATGTGCTCCGCACCCAGCGACACGTGTTCCAGTGTCTCGACTAATTCAAAGGAGTTTTTTAGGCAACACCTGGCCAGGAGTTTACCTACCGGCTCCAACATTTTCGCTAGCCACCGCGCAACATTGTGATACTGTGAGTTGCTCATACACATAATCGGGCGCAGTAGGTTACCTGCCTTGTGTAATTTGGGAGCACTCCTCATTCTTGGTGTCTGAGTGCCAGTCGGTTTCAACCGCCTGTATTGCGCGTCATTGATGTAACCATGTAGCAGGAAAATCTGCGGTTTTCTTGCCACTTGCTTCTCGTTCAATATGTTGTTTTCTGGTGTCTTGTCTAACTGGAACTTCCGTCTGCCCCCAGAATAAATTCCATCTTTGCAGTGTAGTCAGGCCGGTTCATTATCACAATGCCTGATCCCTCATCCGGTTGTAGCAACAGTATGTGTCCCATTTGTTTTAATTCTTTGGTCGTCATATAGTGTTCGGCTTCCAGACAGCATCTCTGGCTTATCAGCGTGTTCATGTATTGGTGCGCAATATCTACCAATTTTGCCCGGAACCAACCGCATCTTCCATTGGTCTTGGCATATGGTCACTGAGCTGTTCATTCAGATACTTAAACTGAGCCTGCGTGTTGAGCTTATCTATTGCTTTTGGCAGCAATCGGTAGAGGAGAGGCTCTATCCCCTCCCTTGACACTGCTTACGGTAATTGACGCACGTTCCTGAGACCCCCAGATTACGTATTTCTTTCTTCTATTTTTGTTCCTCCGTAGATACTATGCTTCACGGGGCAAGTTAGTGGGCAAGGTTGCCAACTTTCCATTGATAACGGATTATCGTGAGTGCATCCGGGACATGGATGAAAAGCAAGCAATCACAATGCGCTACATCATCATGGAGATTAGAAATCACTATGTAAGCCCTTCTTGTTGTGCTTGTAGTATTCTGCGAAATATTTGACAACCTTACGGGGTACACAATTTACCTTTATCTCTGTTTTTCAGGCGACTCTACATGATATCATTATGAAGAACATCGATCGGATCAAAACTCCTCGTTCGAACAACGCTATCACAATGTATTAGTAACGTGGACCTCGACGCTGTTCTACTTGTATTTGTGCTCGAATATCTAAGATGCTGTTATTTGTCTTTGGTTTTTATTGGAGCACACTTCTCTATTGGTGAAGTCATGGTTTATGGATACCACTAGTCATTGGGTTTACCAGTCAGTCCCCTTTCTCCCCATAGCTCGAAATCAAACACGGTAACGTTACCACTGCATTTCTTACCTTTCGTGGTTGGTTGATGCTCGCACGCCTTTTGTTCTCATGGCTCCCGTATGATATAATCCGATCACGAAACTTATGCGGCGTGATCTGTGATGGCTCAAATTCGTTTCACCGATCTTCATGAGTTAAACGAATTATTGCTGGCTTGCGGGACAACCCATTGTGCCTCGTTTTGTTTGTTACTTAGAGTAAGGTAAACAACCCGCACAGATGAACGGTAACCTAACCGTGGATTTTGCCTAACTGTGGTACCCAGGTCACGGTATCGAGCCATAGGTTGACACAACAAGCGCGCTTACATAGTTGGAATGAAACACTCAATTAGCCACTACCCATTCCTTTTCATGATCTGGCCAGTGGAATCACGCGGGTGTTAACATATTCTGGTTCAGTGCTTGTGGTTTCGAAGCGAAACAAGTGCGACCGTTTCTGTCGAGGCACATCGACCATCACGATTGTTTATGTGATCATCCCACTTTATCCGTGACATTTTCACACTATCGGCTGTCTTTCACCTCCACGGCAGCAAATCTCGGTTGACCTACATTGTATAACGTGGGCCTTGTATTTCATCATTCTAATTACCTGATCGTTCTTCATCGACCATTTGGATCCACCCTGTTTCAACACTTCTTTCTGGGCCATAAATGACATCCAGGGCGAGCAGCTCGATCGATGCAGCTCACTGATAAGTAGTTGGGCATACCAAGTTTTCCCTGTCGCTGTCTCACAATCCTGCATCCATCAGCTTCGTCTCTGTTTGAAATCACTCCAAAGAAGTTGACGTCGGAACTTATGGTTATGGGTAATCCTATTCCCTGTGAACTCATCTCGCCCCGCAAATCGTGATAATACCTGAAAATGCAATAATATACTTTTCGGCAATATTATTATATGCAATGTGGTTGTGATATATTGTAGAAAAACGCACTCGGCGGCAACGCTTTCGAAGATTAACTACAACAACTTCAGTTATTTACGAGGTCAGTCATAGCTATCGTTCAAAGAACCAATCCGAATCCCCAGGCTACTATAATCCCTTAACGTCTGGAGAGTCAGCAGGATAGTCTTAGTCTTTTATAGTCTCGTCACCGCTTTAATCCAAACACCCAGGGCTTATTTTTCATAAATAGGGCACAACATCGGTTCCATTGTTTGCGACTGAATCTCCCTGGATTTAGTGCTGTTTCCACTTGTTATGGTCCAACTGCTAGAATTAGCTCAAACCTACCGCCAAAGCCGCACAGCAAGCGACACACCCGGGATGTCATGCTCTCGAGTTCCGTCGTCTATAACACTGGCAGTTTTGTATCCTTTTGATGAGCACACTAATTCCAACGCTTTCTAAAACCACTCGACTGTCATGTTCCCTGGGTTGAGGTGTGCTTGCCGTCCGAAATGTCTGGTCTCAGGTCACTTGACTTGCGGATGACGCGCACTCGTCCGTCGGCTACGTATGATCTGACAGCATCATCGCATGCCTTTTGACAATATCTTAGAAAGCGAATCATCCTTGCACCATTCCACTCGATTGTCACCCGATTTTCAATTGTCAAAGTTTGTGAGGAACTCATCGCAACCACAGTAGGCAAAGTTATCCCCAGTACCTTCAACGTTCCGCTGACGATCCTTTTATTCTTTTGATCCCAGATTTATTGAACATTTCGGTGCGAGGTTTCGACCCGACCTTTGTGAGACAGGAGCCGGCATATTCCGGCTGGAATCGAACACAATGAAACTCGCAAAGAGCTCCGGGCAAAACTCCGTGCTAGCCTGAAAAGAGACCGCGAATCCTGATCGTCTCATGTTGCTTCAGAGATGAAAATGAGCGCTGCCCTTGGTAGCCATCATAAGTTATTCCGGCTGATACTGGAAACGGCCAGTATGAGACCTGTTGTTATTGAAGCTATACGTGACGAGAGTGGACAGCTTATCTACAACTTGTCAAAACGCTTAGAGGGTTGGGCTGAGCACTTTGAAAGGCAATTCAATCGGTCGGAATTGTTAGATTCCCTGCCGGCCACTGATTGCCCCGCTCTCTGGGCTGTCTCTTTGGATCCACCGTCTCGCACAGAAGTGGAACGGGAGATTGCACTGTTGAAGTTAAATAAAGCAGCGACATTAGATGATCTACCTACAGCCCTCCTCAAATTCGGGTGACCCGCTCTTGTGGAGGATTTACATGAATTACTAGTGAAACTGTGGGAGCAGGAAACTATCCGAACCGACTGGAGCCGCTCCGTCATAGTCCCAATTTTCTTGGGAGGCTCACGATCGGAATGCGGCAACCATAGAGGAATCAGTCTGATCTCCATCGCCTCCAAATTACTTGCCTCTGTCATCCTTCACAGACTGACTGGCACTTATGAAAGCCATATTCTTAAAGAGCAAGCCGGGTTTCGTCAAGGTCGTGGCTGCATTGACCGCATCTTCACTTTGCGTCTGTTGTTGGCGCAACGTCACACATATTGGAGGATCACCGCTGTCGTGTTCCTCGATATCAAAGGTGCATTCGATTCGGTGGATAGACGTGCACTTTGGGACTGTCTACTCAGGAAAGGTGTGCCCGAGAAATATGTAAATATTATCCGATCATTATACGCGCGTAGCTCAGGCAGAGTGAGGGCTTACGGCAAGCTGTCGCCGCCCTTCATATCTCCAGC